TTAATCGCCTAATTAGAGAGCCGCCTCTGACGTGATGTAATAACTGACATAGCATGGGAAAGCCTATATAAAGGCTTTCCCCACTCTTAGCAATGAGTTGGCTGTGAGCCCACCTTGAGTGACGAAGGATTCATTATATTGTGGTGCATTTTATATTTCTTCGGCCATTTTTTTTTTGTGTGTGGAGTCAGTTGTGTTGGTCACGTAATCCGCCCACCCTATTCACCTAGGTGGGCTGATTACGTGTTGGACATAGTACTATCTGGGAGAGGTGGACAATAATATGTCCAGGGATAAAGTTTCACAAACTGGCTTATTACAAACGTGGCATCCAATCACAGTACTACGCTAGCATTCACAGAGCGCTTTAGAACGACTCATTTTATTCACAAATGTTTGTAAATGCAGACTGCACGGCTAGTTTGATTTTATACACCTGTGGCAATGGGTCTGAATTCAATAATTAGGAGGTGTGTCGCGTTTCTTTATAGTGTAAGTATAAATGACCCAAAAGTTCATATCTTAAATCATGTACGTACCTTGTCCTTAAGTCCAGCAAATTCAATTATCTGCTTAGCTATTGCAGCAAAGGTTGGATTAATTTCCAAAGTATAGAAACGGGCACCAGGCTTTAACAACCGACCTATCCGCACAGCTGAATACCCACAGTACGTGCCTAGCTCCAGCAGGACGGATGGATTAGTCTCCTTCACTATTTTATCAAGGATCAAGCCTGAAATGAAATCATTTTACACACTCAGTTAATTGTGTTTAGCATGATATCTAGGCAAAAACTGGTTTTGTACACATTATGACAAATAACCACATCACATTACTTTTATGAAATCTAGTTGGCAAGTCAGTCTCAAGTATTAAGTGACAAGTGTTTTTAACTTATATCCCCTTCCCCCATTTGAGTCCCACTCCCAAAATTCCCCCTGAAACTTGTACCACTTTCCATATCTCCTCACTTGTGTCTGTCTAACCATATTCCCCATTTGTTCATCTCCCCTTTGTGTCTATCTCCTCATATTGCCACCCTGGTGTCTATGTCCCATTTCCCTTCCTGAAGACAGTATGTTAGTCTGTATGAACACACAGAGCGGCAATCCTGAATCAATTTAAAGGAACACTATAGTCACGAATACAAACATGTATTTCTTTCTGACACTATGGTGCTGGCATGCAGGATTAGCTCCCTGGCCCCCCTATCTCGCTGCAGTTGGCTCTGTCTCAGAAGTTGAAACTTCTGATGATCTCAGCCAATCCAATGTTTTCCCAAAAGGAAGCAGTGGAAGGCTATTTCACATGCGCGGCGGCAAAACACTGTGCTGCACCAATAAGCATTTCCTCATATGGGGAACTTTCAGCACCTCCATGGAGAGCGTGGAGATGCTGAACATAGGTGCTGCACACTGTGCAGTACTTTACAAGAAACCACCTCTAGTAGCCATCTGATTGATTGCACATAAAGGTGTTAATAGGCAGCACTGCTGTTTCTCTAACAAAGTAGTGTTTACAGTGCTCAGCCTGAAAGACAGGATATAGACGCCAGAACCACCACATTAGCCTTCTGGTGTCTATAAGCACATTTAGGTTCTGGTGTCTATAGTGTCCCTTTAAGGTGGGTAAGTCACTTTCCCCTTACTATATATATATATATATATATATATATATATATATTTATTTATTTCTGTTGTTCTGATGAGTCTCTGAGGATGGCTGAAAGTTGACTATAATGTAACTAAAGATGTGAACAGGTTTATGAAGACTGTAAGTACTAACATTACAGTCCTTTATATTTATATGCACACAGGCCACAAACATACGCATATATGTGCATGAAAAGTTAGATGAAATTATATTTTCCATTTTTTTTATACTCAATTGTAAATTATGTTTTTGCCAATTGCACACATTGTGTGCCTACATTCTTTGTTATTCTGTTGTTCTGTTGTTATTCTGCACATTTAAGATTTTTTTTTTTATGTATGAATCAGTTAACATAGGCTCTCTTTTCATAAATGTTCTGTTAATTTCAACATATTACTGGTTTGAGTTTTTACCCTTTTGATCTCCAACGTTCATGGCCCATTCCCTCTGGCTGCAGTATTTGTCAATGTTATCAATAACGCTCTGAGGGTCCCCACGTACAGCATTCTTCTGCACAAACGCCAAAACCCGCTGTTCCTTTGACTGACACAGGAATACATTTTTGATTGTCTGCCATATCTCTTGCATGTAAATCTTTGTCATGCCACGGTTTCTTTTATAGGTGATGTACAACGTTGCTGTGAGAAAGGCAATTATGCCGAATATAATTGTGCAGGAATCCATTATCTACAATACTGTGAAGAAAAAGAAAGATATAGACATGTGATATAACATTTTTATACTAATCAATCCGTCTGAATGGACAAATATTTACCAGTTCCATTCAAAAAAAGATGTGAATCTCCGTTAACCCATTTACTCTACATTGATTTAGTTTTCCACTGTGGCTCCACTAACCCTCTCTTCCACTCCTGCCCTGGTCTTCACTCAGCGGAGAAATATATTTAGGAACATATGCAGTCGAAGCCTTGTGTATCGGTAAATTACATCACACCAGGTCCTGACGTTTGCATGGATCAATTTGCACAGTGTTGGTGAATTTCATTTTTTTCAGGGTTTTTACTAATTCCAGAATTGTCATAAATTCACTAGGAAACATATTATTTTATTTTAAAATAGATCAACTGAAAACATTGATTAAAGGCAGCTTTGTTTCCATTTCAGTTATTTTGCCCATAGTAAAAATTCCATATTTATATTAAAATTCATGGATTATTGAATAACACTGTGTAATTTTATTCTAATCACTGTAGACTTTAGATGATTACTGGAGGTCCAAGGCGGTTTCTCACACAGTAAAGGAGTTTAAGCATGCGTGGGATAGGCATTAGGCTATCCTAACTATAAGATAAGGTCAGGGACTAATAAAAAGTTTTAGAAAATTGGGCAGATTACATGGGCCGAATGGTTCTTATCTGCCTATGTTTCTTTGTTTCCATGTTAATGTATATGATATTTTCTCCTTAAAGGACCACTCTAGGCACCCAGACCACTTCAGCTTAATTAAGTGGTCTGGGTGTCAGGTCCATCTAGGGTTAACCCATTTTTTTATAAACATAGCAGTCTCAGAAAAACTGCTATGTTTATGAATGGGTTAAGCCTTCCTCCAAAGCCTCTAGCGGCTGTCTCATTGACAGCTGCTAGAGGCGCTTGCGTGATTCTCACTGTAAAAATCACAGTGAGAGCACGCAAGCGTCCATAGGAAAGCATTGTAAATGCTTTCCTATGCAACCGGCTGAATGCGCGCGCAGCTCTTGCCGCACGTGCGCATTCAGCTGAATGGGCGGAGAGGAGGAGGATCGGAACAGGAGAGCTCCCCGCCCAGCGCTGGAAAAAGGTAAGATTTAACCTCTTTCCCCTTTCCAGAGCCGGGCGGGAGGGGGACCCTGAGGGTGGGGGCACCCTCAGCGCACTATAGTGCCAGGATAACGAGTATGTTTTCCTGGTACTATAGTGGTCCTTTAAGGGGAGATCATAAGCATTTTAATTACTAGCATGCAGGTTGTAGAGAATGTTACTACAAAATGGGGGGTGGGGCAGGGCCGGGCCGCCGAGCGAAGTGGCAGCAAACTAAGCCAGCTCCGGCTATACACCACTCAAAACCCCAAATAAAAAACCTAAGAACCCGCCAGAAACCGGGAACAAGCCAAGAACCGAGGGGGGCATAACCAGGAGCGTTGTACTAGGGCTCTTGCCCCGCTAACAGCTTGAAACGAGCACGGCGAATCCATGCGGCCCTCGACTAGATGAGTGCACGAGGCCCACAACAGGCACTGATCCCGCTCCCCCCCTTCTGACCGGTGGGGGTGATTCCGGCCTGGGAGTCCAGACTTCGGAGGCTGGGGTTGAGGCCCACCTGGTGTGAGGCCCTAACACACTCGGGACCAAGATGGCCGACGGACGACTCACGCCTGCGCAGCAACAAGGTGCGCTATACATACCAGAGGTGAAAACCCACGCTGGGACGCCTCGGCCCCCGGGTGGTGGATCCCGCGGCTGGACCAGGCGGCGGACCAGTTGACATGGAGCTGGCCTTGATCTTTGGATTTGGTGGTGGTCCTGGAGAATATGCCCCCAATTCTATGATGTCTTGTGTGGCTGAGATGGCTGGGGCGACGCGCCGGCACCAAGTATGAGACCGAAGGCGGGTGAGGTATGAGCGGGCTGGGGTTCCACTGGGACTGGGGAGGTGCAGGAGACAGGTGCCCTGTGGACTTACTGGGGGGAGGGAACCGCTGGACTGCCAACGTCTCTGAGTGCCCACAGCGCAGGGGAGCTCTATGCAGACACAGGGGCCTGCCTTGGGGGGGAAAAGGAGGGTGTGCCGGGTTGGGAGAGCCGGGGGGGGACTCAGATGTGCACAACCTGCCCACCGCACATATACATACCCAAGGTAATCCTACACAAGAGCTGTACCCGAGGGAGACGGGTAATGATGCCGTCCGAAAACTGTTGATTCCACGCCGCACGGCCTCTTCATGCCGGGCATTGTAACGCCTCCCCCCCCCCAACAAAGTGACAGAAGTTCCTATAAGAGGACAATTGTTTCAGTTGTGCTTACGCTACCTTACTCTTTCCCTTCAGTTAAATATATACAGAGCTTTTAATTTAGATGCTATAGTAATGCCGCACAGATGGGGTTAATTTATTTTTATTATTATTATTTATGCACCCATTTTTATCGCACGCCTCTCTCATAATTCCCTAGGCGCTGCTATAAGGCTAATAACTATGACCTACCCCTGCCACATGATGCCCGATTGATATATTGTATCAGCCATATATACTTAACGTAGCATTAGGACCCAAATATAGGTTTTATAGGGGCCCTACAGAACGGATATCCGCCCATTTAATCTGGCTTCGCTACCATATACCGCAATTTAATCCCACGTGACCAATTTATACAGGCTTACCGTTAAGTGACTACTCTATGAGCAGAACTGTGAAATTAAGAATAGACCTAAACCGTTAATTGCCCTATTCTGGTTGGACCTGGTACAATTTAGCTCAAGGAACAGTGCATATACACCAGCTACAATCTGGCTCATAACCTTATTGCTGCCGCACGCAGACTGCCAAACACTGTACTTGACCATGCTTTAAAAAATGCATTTGAAACATAGACAGAGCAACTGGCCAGATACCTGCCATTAACGGCCGTTAAAATAGTCGTAAAAACCTGAATACAACGCGTAAACGCTGCATTATCACGCTTGTTTTATGCCTTTGATGGATTACATTTGGCAAAGTCTTTGTACACCTAATATACATCACTGCTCAATAACTTCGACTAATATTTGAATTTTTCCACTATAATGTTTATATGCTCCGATATACACGCCTCCGCGTAGGCGACCATCTGCTTTTATTTACATGTTCTGATATACACGCCTTTGCGTAGGCGACTATTTGCTACAACAATACTAAGTTTCATATCTGCATCTACATTGTGATGACAATAAAAATATTTAAAACAAAATTTAGTATGCACATTAGTTAAAAAAAAATTTAAAAAAAAGGAAAAATACAATATAAATGCTAATAAGTTCAACCTCTACCCCTCATCTTGTACATATATAGTAGACATGTGCACAGCCAAAAAATGTATTTTGGTTTGTTTCATTCCTATTAGTGAATTTATCAAAATGGAACAAAACAGAATTTAAAAAAATTTCAGAAATGAAGCAAAGTACAAATACCATTACTCTAAAGGATACCAATTTTGGGAGTTGTTTATTAAATAGCTCCCTAATTTGATATCCTTAAAATAGTGTGTGTGTTTGTGTAGTGGATGCAGTGTGGATGCAGTGTATGTGGGAGGAGGGGCACTGTGGTAGCTGGGGACCCGGGCACTGTGGTAGCTGGGGAGCAGGGGCACTGGGGTAGATGGAGTAGTAGGGGCACTGGGTTAGATGGGGTTGTAAGGGCAGTAGGGTAGATGGGGTTGTAAGGGCAGTAGGGAAGATGGGCTTGTAAGGGCACTGGGGTAGTAGGGGCACTGGTGTAGATGGATTGAAAGGGCACTAGGGTAGATGGGGTTGTAAGGGCACTGGGGTAGATGGGTTAGTAGGGGCACTGGGGTAGATAGATGGGGAGCACAGACTCCTTCTAGTTTACCCCACACTTACCAGTTCGGGCCACATTTAGCCCCGCCGCGCTAAACTCTGCCCAGCCACATGCCAACCTCTGCCCAGCAGCATGCTAAGCCCCGCCCTCATTGCCCTGTCTTCATTATTGGCAATATTGGTATCTTTATAGGCCAATATCGATATTGCTGAAAATTCACAATATCGGCCGATAAGATCTGCTAGACCGATAATCGGTCGATTCCTACCTTCCACCAGGTTTTGAAGCACCATGCACTACTTTATTCCTCTCTACAACCTTTATCTCACTGCCTATGAATAGGTTACCAACCTGTTATTGAGTATCTGTTGACTCACATTTAGGTGACCTCTAAAATATGATGTAACTTTACTTTTGCTCTTGTTGTTGTTATTAACAAGTGTTGACAAATGCTGGTATGATGTGTATCCTCTGACTATATGATGCGTGATAATTATTTTGTGAACATTATTATAATGCCAATAAATTTAAAAATAAAAAAATCTAAACTTAATGTAGTGCTTCAATAAAAAACAATTCTTTAAAAATGTATCAAAAAATGAAATCTTGAAGTGCTTATAACTTTAATAATCAAGGTAAATAATTTTGTTACACTTTTTTTAATTGGCTTCTATTGAAGCACCAGTTTAGTATCCCTTCTCTGAACTCTCTCTAAAGTAGCAATATCCTTTTGGAGATACGATCTCCAGTACAATTTCCAGGGGGCGGGAAAAAACGCTGCCCCCAAATGTCCAGACTAATGCCTTGTTTGCCTCGTTTTATGGGGGCCCAAGAGCTGGCCAGCTGGCCATCTTTGGGCTCCCCCGGGGCAGGCGGCCAGTTGTTTCCTGGGCGGGCGGAATGTGAGCATTTTCCCCTGAGCTCTCTCTGCTCAGCTTAGGAATATGACGTCATTCCGGCTCCTGGCATCACTCTGCAATGTGCGAGGGAGCTGAGCAGAGAGGTAACAGCTCCCTCGCTGAAAACTTAGAGCGCCCGCCCACCTGCATGTCCAGCCACCTTCCTGCCCAGCAGCCCCACTGGACCCCAGATAAAAATAGTAAGGAGGCTGGGTGGATTTAAATTTAAAAAAATTTAAATAATAATTGTGAGTGTTGTGGGAAAATGTGTGTGTTTGTCAATGAATGTGATTGTGTGTGTATCAGTGAATGTGACTGTGTGTGTCAGTGAATGTGAGGAAGTGAGTGAGTGTGTGTGTCAGTGAATGTGAGTGAGTGTGTGTGTGTCAGTGAATGTGAGTGAGAGTGTGTCATTGAATTTGAGTGAGTGTGAGTGAGTGTGTGTCTGTCAGTGAGTGTGTGTGTCTGTCAGTAAGTGTGTGAGTTTCAGTGAATGTGTGTGTGTCGGTCTGTCAGTGAGTGTCTGTGAGTGTGTGTCTGAGTGATTGTGCGTGTCTGTCAGTGAGTGTATGCGTCTGTCAGTGTGTGTCTAAATGATTGTATGTGTGTCAGATTGTGTCAAATCAGTGAGTGTATGTGTATGTCAGTGTATCTGAGAGTGTGTGCTGGTCCGTGAGTGTGTCTGTCAGTCAAAATGTGTGTAAGCAAACAGGAAGAGGTGTGGCCTTGGCAGAAAGTGGCAGGTACTTTTAAATTAGGGGGTGCCCGAGATCTGTTATGCCTAGGGCAGCACCATTTCAAAATACACCACTGCCAGTACTGCATAGAATACTCCAAGTGAGGTCTTACCAGTGTTCTGTATAATGGCATGAGCACACTTTCTACTGCTAATAACTCTCCCTATACATCCAAGTGTTCTGCTAGCATTTCCTGCTGCTTTATTACATTTCTTTAAGTCATCTGAAATAATTAGCCCTAAATCCCTTTACTCAGATGTTGAGGTTAGGACTATATAAAATATTGTGTACTCTGCCTTTGGGTTTTTACGTCCAAAATGCATTATCTTGCACTTATCCCCTTTAAATGTCAGTTTCCACAACTCTGACCATTTTTCTAGTTTACCTAAATTATTTGCCACTTGGCTTTTGTCTCCTGGAACATCAACCCTGTTAGATATCTTAGTATCATCAGCAAAAAAACATACCTTACCATCAAGACCAATATCACTAATAAAAATATTAAAGAGAATGGGTCCGAGTACAGATCCCTTTGGTACCCCACTGGTGACAAGACCATGCTTTGAATATACTCCATTGACTACAACTCTCTGTTGCTTGTTACTCAGCCACTGCCTTACCCATTCTACAATACTGAAATCCGAACTTAAAGATTGCAGTTTATTGATAAGCCTTCTATGCAGCTGTCTCCTGTACCCGGCCAGACTAACAGGAAACAGGTGCACACTCAGTGTTCACTTCCTGTTAGTCTGGCCGGGTACAGGAAACAGATGCTCCCTGTACCCGCGGACTATACAGGGCTCGGCCACGCTACAGGGAGGTAGGGGGGAGAAAGAGAAAGGAGGGGGGTGAGGTGAGAAAGAAAGGGGGGTGAGAAAGAGGAGAAACGGGGTGAAAGAGGAGAAAAACGGGGTGAGAAAGAGAAAGGGGGGAGAGAAAGGAGGGGGTGAAAGAGGAGAAACGGGGGTGTGAGAAGGGAGGGAGAGAAAGGAGGGGGGTGAGAAAGAGAAAGGAGGGGGAGAAAGAGAGGAGGAGGGGGGTGAGAAAGAGAGGAGGGGGTGAAAAAGGAGAAAGAGGGGGTGAGAAAGAGGAGAAAGGGAGGGTGAGAAGGGAGGGTGAGAAAGAGGAGAAAGGGGGGTGAGAAGGAGAAAGGGGGGGTGAGAAGAGAAAGGAGGGGGGGAGAGAAAGAGAAAGGAGGGGGGTGAGAAAGGAGAGAGGGGGTGAGAGAGAGAGGGGGTGAGAAAGAGGAGAAAGGGAGGGTGAGAAGGGAGGGTGAGAAAGAGGAGAAAGGGGGGTGAGAAGGAGAAAGGGGGGGTGAGAAGAGAAAGGAGGGGGGGAGAGAAAGAGAAAGGAGGGGGGTGAGAAAGGAGAGAGGGGGTGAGAGAGAAATTAGGAGGGGGAAGAGAAATTAGGAGGGAGGGAGAGATATTAGGAGGGAGGGAGAGATATTAGGAGGGGGGAAAGAGAAATTGAAATTAGGAGGGGGGAAGAGATATTAGGAGGGGGGAAAGAGAAATTAGGAGGGGGGGGTGAGAGAGAAATTGGGAGGAGGAGAAGGAAATTGGGATGGAGGAGAGATTGACATTCATCACATACACACAATGCACCCTTGCACACAGAAAACACACAATGCATTACACACACAGACACACATACACAAGCAATGCACACAATGCATCCCTACACACACACAAACACACAATGCATTCATTACACACACTCAATGCACCCCTTACACACGCACACACTGCATCCTGTACATTCACAGAAACACACCTTGCAGCCCTTACACATACAAACTCAGATTCACACAATGCATTCCCTACACACATATCAGGACATCCCCTACACACTCCACCCCCTGTGAACAAACTCATTGGTGGAACATGAAGGTGGACCCTGGGACCCAGACCTTGAGCTGTGTAAAGGACCCCCAAAAAATGGAGCTGCTTCCCGTTCTCCCAGAACATTGATTTTTTGTGACCACAGTTACAAACCGCCTCCAGAGAGCCTGTTCTGCACCAGACCAGTGGAGCCAGACTGCAGCTAGAGCCCATCATCATCCTCATCTGGTTGTAAGTAGGCAATCTAGTATATTATTCGCGGCACTAAGCTCTAATTTACCTCACATTAAAGAAACACTATAGTCCCCAGAACCACTTCAGCTTAATGTAGTGGTTCTGGTGTCTATAGCCTGTCCCTGCAGGCCTTTAATGTAAACACGGCGGCACTGCAGCACTGGCGTTAGTTAACATGGCAAATCACATGGGTGGGGCATTGTGATGTCACATGGGGGGCGGCAAATTTTACTTTGCCTAGGGCGCAAAAATCCTTGCACCGGCCCCAGCCGGAGGGAAGGTGCGGAGCTGGGGCCGACAGTGTCTCCATGTATGTGTTGACCGTCTGCCTGTGACTGTGTGTGACTGTCTGCCTGTGACTGTGTGTGACTGTCTGCCTGTAACTGAGCGTGTGACTGTCTGTCTGTAACTGAGTGTGTGACTGTCTGCCTGTAAATGTGTGTGTGGGGCTGCAGGGATTTTGTAGAAGGGGGCGGGGGGTTTGCATTGGGACAGGAGTCTTTGTAAGGGGGGATAAGCAGGGGATTTGTGGAAGGGGGTTGCGGGGGTTTTGTAGAGGGGCAGACAGGATTTGTAGGCAGGGGCGTAGGGCAGGACAGGGTTTGCAAAGTTTACAAATTGTAAAAAAAAAAGAAAGAAAACCTTTAACATTTTTTATAGTTTTTTTTTTTTGGGGGGGAGGGGGGTGCCAAGCACAGGATCCGCCCCGGGTGCCAAATGCTCTAGGTACGTCCCTGCTTCTATGTGCAACAGTGTCAAAAGCCTTACTGAAATCTAGGTTAGTGGTGGTCTGAACGTCGAGAAGACTGGATGTGTCTCACTAGAGCTCCACTCTAAACGCGCCGAAAAGCTATCAAATCGACCTATTCTAAAGCATCTTTCCGTACCTTGCTCCCCGTCATGGAGAAGAGACTCCCTAAGAAGCAGGCAGAGAAAGGCCCAGAGCCTGGGTGTACAGTCCTCGACTTCCTCACGGCGCAGAAGCATGGCCGGTTGGGGAGCCAAGATGGTGACGGAGGGTCCCCGCAGGCATCGCCTCGTGCAGACAGGGAGGCCTCCTCCGCCGAACAGGAAAAGGTGTTGGCAAAACTCGCGGAGGTCTGAGCTTACCTCGCAGGGGAAATAGCCAAATCAACAGTGGTTCTGCAGGCCGACAAAGGCGCCCTGGGGGAGCGGACCGCGAAGTTAGAGGAACGCATTGAGGCGACCACACAGGCCCACAATGCGGTGGCTGCCGGGCGTATCACCTAACAGCGCACATGGTGAAGACTGACCTGGCTGTTGAAGATATGGCGAACCGGTCGCGTCGGAACAATCTCTGCTAGAGGGGCCTGCCGGAGGGGAATGGTGAGGACTTACAAGGGCTCCTATTTACCATCCTGAAGCCTCTCCTTCCAAATCTCTTAGAGGAACAATGGCACATGGAGAGGGCACACAGGGCTCTCTCTGCGTGCCCAGAGAGCTGACGCGAATGCCCCAAGGACATGATAATTTGTTTCCTCCACTACAGAACCAAGGAAGCGCTGATAAAGAAGGGTACGCTGGGACTCAGATCTCCCTCTACCAGGATCTGGCTCCTTCCACGCTCCAGCGGAGGAGGGATTGGCGACACATAACAGAGGCTCTACGAGGAGCAGGCCTCAAGTATGCCTGGGGATTCCCCTTCAAATTGATGGTGTTCCAGGGAGACCGGGCACACATTCTGGCGCTGGGAGGTGATCCACAGCACTTGTTCCGGGGTCTCGGTGTCCAACCGCCCCCAACATTCCTAACATGGCGATGTACCGGAGGACCTACCCCTGATGCAGACCGAGTGGCAGGAGGCAGGAGTGAGGGGTCATCGCTAGCTACAGAGGGTATCGTATGTTTTTGCCATGGTAAAAAGGCCTTGATTTGGGTGTGGGTGAACGAGATCTCAAGTTGCGGGTGGATGACGGGGTAAGGGGTCTTCCATGAGTCTGATGTTTTCCATGTTTGGGAGAGGTTTTTTTTCATGACGGGAGGCTGCCTTAATCTGGTGTTCTGGTGGGTCGATGGGTGCCCCACTGGTTCTGGTGCCAGAGTTACGGTTTTGGTTGGGGAACGGGGGCATTGGATCTTGTACACCTGCCAGTGTGGCCTCGGGGGACAGTTCTATTGTATGGCACCTTCTCGGGGACTACAGGGCTGCACGGGATGGCATGATTTTGGGACTGGGCCTCGATTGTTAGTCATTCTTCCCTTTTGGGCTGTTCTACCCCTACGTTGGGTCCTTAGCAGCCTACTTAGATTCGGGGGGGCATCTCATCCTCTGGAATTTGAAGCGGAGCGGTGGTCGCCCTGGGACTTTGGGGCACAGGTGAGGCGGAGGTCACTATATGTATATTCATCACTGATCCCCTGTATAATTTATTGGACATATATCTGTACATACAGTTGTAAAACATTTTAAACCACAAAAAAAAAAAACCTGCCATATATGGAAATTGTAACAATTGAAAAGATTTACACACAAAAGCAAATTCTGTTACAGGTTTTTTTCAACACAGTTATGACATTACCCTGGTTATGGGGTCACTGGGGGGGGAGGTAACCTTATCGAAGGCGGAATGTACTATATATGTATGCAACTGTTTTTACTAACCGAACGGCCCGTGATCAGAATGCTTGACGGCAGATAGGGGTGCACGTCTAAGGGGGGTTGTAATACAAAAGAGGCCTGCCTACTGCTAAGGGGATGTCGTGCAGTTTGCATGAAAACAGGAGCGCCCCCCAATAATTTAATTTAGTATTACTCTTTATATACTATACTTTATACGTAAGAATACAAACAACCCCCCCGCCCCCCCCAAAAAATATAATAATAATTAAAAAACAAAAACCCCACTATGCAGGAGAAATTGCAAGAAATCAAAAAGATTTACACACAAAAAGCTAAATTAGTTACAGTTTTTCCCCGCACTGCTTTAACATTATCTTGTTTATATAGACACAAGTGGGGGGAGGTAACCTTGTTGAAGGCGGAATGTACTATATACGTATGCAACTGTTTTTACTAATTGAAATGATTATGATCAGAATGCAAGACGCCCGATCGTGATGCCCGCTTAAGGGGGGTTTTCATATAAAAGAGGCCTGCCTACTGTTATAGGGATGTTGTGCAGTTAGCACGGAAAACAGGAGCCACCCCCCCAGTAATTTCATATCGCTCTATATATACTACACTTTATACCTATGAATAAAAACAAAATCCCTCCCCCCTCCCCCCAAAAAAGGGGGGAATTTCTTACAATGAAAATACATGAGAATCATAAAGGAAAATGAAAAGGTGGGCCACAAGAATCTAACAAGTACTGAGTCCATACATAGTTGTACTCTATTCTAGTGTTAAAATGTGTTAACATGCTTAAAGGGGGAGAAGTATAGTTTTTGTACATAGATTGTAACATATACTATGCAAATGGCTTGGACATCAGACCAGATGAATATTTGCAGATGGAAACCCTGGGATGGGGGAGCTATGTTAAATGCTTCAACTACAAATGATTCCACAACCTCAGGCTAAAGGGCTATTTACCGATGGCTTGTTTTCTGGGTTGCAACGGGGGGGAGGTTTCAGGGGAGTGGTCCTCAGGGGGGGAAGCCCGTGCTCAATAGCAAGGTGCAAGAGGGTAAAAGATACGGTGACAAGACCATAGAGGAACATAGAATACAATGGAGGTCAAGATCACCTCATTGAACATTAAGGGCCTCAATGCCCCAAGGAAGTGTTGTCTTATGTTTAGAGAACTAAAGAGGATGAAATCGTACATAGTGTGCGTTCAGGAGACCCACCTGCCTAAACAGGCCAGCTTCAGATTGCGAAACCATACATATGTGGGATCATATGAAGCTAGGTCTTATCGCAAACGAAACGGTGTGGCTATTCTTATACGACACAGCTGCCCCTTCCAGATGGTCACTCATGAGGCTGATCCAGAGGGCCGCTTCATTATAATTACGAGCACCTTGCATTCACACACCATCCATCTGATAAATATCTACGCGCCGAACCAACCTGATCCCGGTTTAGTGTTGCCACAAGGCATGATCCTCATGGGGGGTGATTTTAATGCGGTCCCGTGCCCAGCTGTAGACAGGAGCACACGAGAAGGAGCTCCAAGGTCCCATGGGAGGGGAGGTTAGGACCGGCTGCTCAGAGAATTCATAGCAGACACAGGTATGGTGGATGTGTTGTGAGCGCACCACCCGGGAGATAAAGATTATTACTTTTACTCTGTCCCTCGTGAAACATACTCAAGAATAGACCTATTCTTCGGAAACGCGACAGGTATGTCTCGAATAGTGGGGTCAACAGTAGGTAATATATTATGGTCAGACCATGCTGATGTATCTATCAGACTGGGCAACCTGTGTGTAGCTTCCCCATGGACGTGGAGACTGAACACGTCCTTGGTGCAGGACCCGGAGTTAACAGAGCAGATCCGGAGGGAGATATCAAAATACTTCAACATGAATAACACCCTGGAAGTGAGTGCTAGCACGGTATGGGCGGCGCATAAGGCGGTGGTGAGGGGGGCCCTCATCAAGTTGGCTACTAGAAAGAAGAAAATGAAACATCAAAAGTTGGAGACCCTACTGGGACAGCTTAGGACCCTTGAGCAGAAACACCACATGACCTCAGCTGAGGAGATCTACAGGCAGCTGGATGCAGTGAGTAGAAATATCCGTACATTACTACTGGACGATACGGCCAGGTCCATAGTCTGGTCAAAATGGGCATATTATGAAAAGGCCAACAAGATGGACACTCTACTGGCCAGGTCGCTTAGACCCAGACAGGAATGGGCACATGTCACAGCCATTAGGCACCCAGAGGTACGGTAAAATCAATGCCAATGGACGTTGCTGAAGTCTTTATACTAATCACACACCGGATGAGAACTCCTAGGATGGGCAAGAGAAGGAGCACATTCTCAAATACTTAGATGCCCTGAGGATGACCAGATTGAATAGAGAAGCAGTAAGTGGCCTGGCAACGGAAATCACAAAGGACGAAGTGGATAGAGCTATATCAGGTCTGAAAGGCAATAGAGCACCAGGACCAGATGGCTTCGGCGGCACGTCCTTCAGGGAGGAGCTCACGCCTCAACTGGTGAGGCTCTTTGACAACCTGAGACAGGGAAGACACCTGGACCCTGACATGCCCTAGCTACCATTGTGTTACTGCCCAAACCAGGAAAAGATCCGCTTCAGCCCGAAAATTATAGGCCCATATCGTTAATCAACCACGACATGAAGATCCTAGCAAGGATGCAAGCGGACAGGTTGAACCCGTTGTTAAACTCACTCATACACGCTGACCAGGTCGGCTTTATTCAAGGCAGGCAATTGTTTGAGAATACCAGGAGGAATATAGACCTGATTTGGAAACAAGTGGTCACCGGGATGCCCACATTGGTGTTTTCGATTGATGCAGAAAAGGCCTTCGACAGGGTTCGGTGGCAATTCATGTTCGCATTGTTGACACACTTGGGCTTCCCGGAGGAGTATGTAACAATTACAAAAGCAATGTACCATAATGTGCGGGCACAGGTACGGATAACGGGAGCTCCGCTGAAGCCATTTAGGTTATAAAACAGAACCAGACAGGGGTGCCCACTTTCCCCCCTTCTCTTTGTGCTGGCATTAGAGCCCCTGCTACAGGCAATACGAAGGCACCTGAATATCAGGGGAGTTAGAGTCGGAGACAGAGAATTTAAGGATTCGGCCTATGCGGATGACGTCCTCCTGACTATCACGAACCCGATGGAGTCGATGGCGGCACTGCAGGACGTAATAAAGGAATATGGGGAGATGTCCGGATATAAAGCAAATATCCATAAGTCCGGTGCTATGCCAGTTGGAAAGAAGGTGGCAGACACAGATCGAATACGGGAGACCTACCAAGTTCGGATGGAAACAGACTCCCTGAAATATTTAGGAATTCATCTAACAGCAGACCCAGGACATCTTGTCAGGATTACTGTTTGATCCAGCACGTAGAACTGTACAGCACGGATGATAAATAAGTAACGTATTACCGGTCCTTAGAATGGCCGGATTTAACGTACAAAGAATAGTCAAAAATACTAGCCGAGGTCAGGGAACACAGAAAGGGACACAGCGATGAGGAAAGCCAGGAGTCAGGATACCAGAATATAGAGAAGTCAATAAACAAAGCCAAAGTCAAAAACCAGGTAGAAAACTATAAACAGGAACGCGCTCTCGGACAACCACAAGGGAAACCACGACAGGGCACTGAGCAGGCTGAGAACTGGGCCTAAATACCCCTCCTTTAGTTCTGATAGGCTGTAACTGGCCTTTGACCCCAAAGTCAGTTACCAGGTTTCATTTGCATAATTGCTGCTCAGCATTAACCCTTCTGTGGATTAGGTTGCTGCTCGGCACAACTTTTCCTGTGTGGAGAGTAAATGTCATTAACCACATTTCTATAAGCGGATGAATATGTGACATTACCCCCCACCTGAAGAACGCCCACCGGGCGGACAGGACCAGGTTTGAGAGGAAATTTAGCGTGAAAAGCGCGGATCTTACGGCCCGCATGCAGGTCAGGAGCCGAAACCCAAGAACCCAAGCTCTTTAGAATGCGTAAAATGGACACAGATGACTGCTGGAGGGGTTGCAGAGCTCGAGGAACGTACATGCATATGTGGTGGGATTGCCCGAAGGTATGTAGTTTCTGGAAGTCGGTGGAGGACTTGCTGAGACAGATCTTTGACAGGCCCCTGGATATGGACCCGTGGGTATATTTGTTAAATAGATCACTGGATGGGTGGACTAAGAGAGAGCAGAAACTAATACATAAGATCACTCTAAGTGCATGTAGAGCAATAGCAACTGCTTGGCTCTCCCCAGAGGGCCCTGGGTTCCCAGGGGTGATATCCAGGATTAGAGAATGTAAAATTATGGACGACCTGACAGCTAGGGTAAGGGGGACATCGGAAGCATTCCGGAGACTATGGGAGCCATGGGACAATAGCTTAGTGGGTTCGAGGGGAAACTGAGGGCGACCGGACAAGGGAGTGAAACCATGCCAGCATAGGAAGACCGCCCCTCGAGGGAGATAGCCATCGCATAAAATGGGGGGGAGGGGGGCAGTTCCGGGTTTCCTCCCCCCCCCTTCTCCCTCCCCTCCCTCCCCTCAACTTTTTTCTTATTCTACACCTTTTTCCTCTCTTTCTCTCTGTCATTCCTTTTTTGGTTTTCTTACCTTGCTTTTTCAAGAGACTGTTTTTATCAGGCGCAATCAAACTGTTGGAGGAACATGGAAGCCCATGGGCAAGGGTAGCCTCAGGAGAATTTAGGGCTTCATGTGCGGATTAAACGCCTGATCTAAAAATAAAAAACCCTCGGTGGGTGGCAAGTCTTTTTTTTTTTTATAAATTTATTTATTTCGTTTTTCTTATAAAGACATACAAGACATTGCCATCAACAATAATGAATATAAAAAAAAGAATGTAGACATTTACCTCCGGTTGGATGAAACATATAACTTACACATATTCCTGTATTAGTGCTTATTCCCCTTATCTTGTACTCAAAAATATTATTACATAAAACTAATCCAAATACCATACTAACAGGGTCACCAATCATGCCAGAATTTTAATCCAGCATTTCCTCTAAGATTAAAGTGCATTATATTTATCCGTATAAGTCATCCTAATTCTCTTATTATTATTATATCATCTTATCTTAATTAGTTAACTTTATGTGCCTTCATTAATGTGATAGACATAACAAACATACAAAAACAAACACTATTATGCATTGCAAACTCTCCTTGGGGAGTATCAGTGGAACCTCTATTCCGTTACCTTAAAATAAAATAAAATAATAATATTCTATTTATTTTGTCCAGGGCTTTATATGACCATCAAAAGACAGAAAAGATTTCAGACCTAATGGGTGTTACCACCCCTTAGGTCTTCTATCTTTAAGAGTGCAGCGCTGTATAGTATGTGAAAACACAGTGAATTACCTGTGAATCAAAGACAATTATCCTTTATATTCTTCAATGTAATATACATACAAAAGAAAACAGAAATATATACAGATAATTGTGCAGTATATCTAATACTTTAGTGAAGTGTTTAGTGAGTAACAGATATATCTCCACTCACATTTTTTAGAGCCTTTTCAAGTGAATTAGGCTCTAAACTTCCGTGCGTCTGTGTCTTTAAGGGTAGATCACACGACCCCTCTCTCCAGGTTAAGTGTGTATTTTCCTCTCCCCAGCGTATATAAAAGACACAGAATTATCCAACTAAGTGTAGCATCCTTTGTAATATTTTCATATGAATAATAAATTAAAGTGCTCACCTTATTTAGAGCCTTTTGGTAACTGGCTCTAAGTATATAGGCCGAGTGTCAATTTGTGGGGTGACACAGCCCCTTCCCTGGAATCACTGGTGCTGGATACAGTGGATTGTATAAAATAAGGGAATTTATTACAAAGTATATAAAAACAGTATAAAAATATTTCTAGAAAATAAAAAATATTGAATAAGAACAAAGTATTGCAAGTATTAGTGGTTTTAGGAAAAATGATGAGTCCACTTTAAAAGCCAAAACGCGTTTCGCCGGTAAAAACGGCTTCCTCAGTCAGCTTGTGAGTGTCCTCTTGGTATTCTGTAATTTAAGCGTCCAAAATCCCGCCTAAAATGTCTTCTTCCAATCAAATGAGTCTTTTTGTGTCCTGTGACGCGGCTAAAATGCCGTCGCGTCACTTCCGGGTTTTCGGCACTACACGATCCAGAGTGCTTTGCGCTTAGCGCGTCACTTCCGGTTTTCGTCCGGTTCTTTGTGGGAAATATAGTCCGCACTGGGAGTTTTATTCAGTTCATATTAGAGCCCTCTTCGGCTCATATACAGTTTACAATGAAAATAAAATAAAAGAAAAACATTGTAGTAAAATGTTATTGTATATTCCTTGTCTTTAGAAAATATATCTTTATAGCATCCTGCTTATACACTTCTATTTCTCCATATGTGTTATAATTTTTAAAGAGCCATAACTTCAATTATATTAAAACTCTTTTGTTACTCATACAATCTAATCTCTATTATAAGCAATGGTATCTCTTATATAAAAAACATGCAAAACTTAAACATAGTGGAAAAAAGTGGCTTTTGTTTCAAAGTGTGCATTCTTATGAAATCATATTTGTGCAGACATATTCCACCTTTTGTTTGTTTCTAAAATTCCAACTGCTTTTTGTTCTAATTATTTTAAATGTATAAAATTAGTATAAAAATAAATACATTTAATTATTCATTATTTGAAGCAGTGGGGACTCTTATATGGAAAAGTGAAGAAAAAATAGACCCAATGAGAGACGATGATGTTGATAAGTGTATTCTATATATATAAATAGTCTGGTTCATAGAAAATGGCATAATTCAAAGTCTGCATTTAGACCTGTGGGGGCTAAAGTATTAAGATTAAAAATCCATTTTGTTTCAATTTTTCCTAATTTTCTAATTTCATCTTCCCCTCGCCAGTTAAGTGAGATTTTCTGAATAGCCATAAATTCTAGAAATTGTGGGTCTTTATTATGTATTAAGCTAAAGTGTTCTGAAACACTATGTTTATCGTACCCTTTTTTAATGTTTCTGATATGTTCATTTATTCGTGTTTAGGGGACGTTTCGTTCTACCAACATAGAATAAATTACAAGAACACTTTAAAACGTATATAACCCTCTTAGAAAAACATGTGATCATTTGGCGTATCTTGTATTTTTTCTCCCCTTTAGGGTCGTAGAATTCTGTAATGTGCCTTTTTGTGCTTTTTGTGCTTCTACAAGCTAGACACTGTCCACAGCCAAAAAAACCTTCTTTCTGAAAAAAGGGGATAGGTGTATTTTCTTTGATGTGATTATGTGTCAATTTTTGTTTTAAGTTAGGAGCTCCTCTATACACTAATTTCGGTCTCTCTGGTAATATAGAGTATAGCATAGGATCGTTCCTTAACATAGGCCAGTGTTTATTTATTATTTGTTTGATTTTGTGACTTTCTTGATTAAAATTACAAATAAATGGCAAATTTGTATTTGTATTTATGCTTTTTGGTTTATATTTTAGCAATGAGGTTCTTTCCATGGTTTTAACTTCTTCTATAGTATTTGTGAGAGAGATTTCTTCATATCCTTTTTCCATAAAATCTTGTTTAATTTTAATGGCCTGTATCTTAAAAGTGCTTTGATCAGTGCAGTTTCTACGAACTCTCATAAGTTGTGCTTTAGGTATATTTTTTAACCAGGGAGAAAAATGGCAACTGTTTAGGTAGATATAATTGTTTACATCTACCGTTTAAAGAAAGTTTTGGTTTTAATACTGTTGTCTTCTATAAAAATAGTTAAATCTAAAAAATTAACACTTTCTTTGTTGTATTCTGTGGTTAATGTCACTCCCCAGTCATTTGTGTTTAGAAAGGTTAAAAATGTTTTTAAAAGATCCACTGAACCATTCCAGATTAAAAAATATCGTCTATGTACCGCTTATAGGAGACAAGGCTCGCTCCCCATTCCAAATTATTGTCTATAAATTGTGATTCCCAGTAAGCCATAAATAGATTTGCGTAGCTCGGAGCGAACCTTGTCCCCATAGCGGTACCGACTTTCTGTAAAAAGAATTCATTGTTGAACCAGAAATAATTATTGTAAAGGATAAGATCTATTCCTTCCATAATAAAACTTATTTGTTCTTCTGGATAAATGTTATCCTTTTTGAGAAAAAATTCTACTGCTTCTAGCCCTTTCATATGTGAAATGATGGTATAAAGGGAACTAACGTCTGCCGTTACTAGAATATAGTTGGGTTCCCATTGTATATGCTGTAGTGTTTGTATGATGTTTAGTGTGTCCTTAAGATAATTTGGAGTTTTTTGAACCAGAGGTTGTAGACATTTGTCTAGGTGTTCCGATAGCCTACTGGATACAGAATCTATCCCTGAGACTATCGGTCTACCTGGAGGGTTGGTTAAATGTTTATGGATTTTGGGAAGGTGGTAGAAGACTGGGATTTTTGGTTTAACAATGTTGATGTACTTATATTCCTTTTCATTTAATATTTCTATTTCTTTTCCTTTACTCAGTAGGTTGTCGAATTTATTTTTGATACTGATTGTTGGGTCTCCATTTAGTTTTTGATATGTTACTGTGTCTTCTACTAATCTGAGTCCCTCTCTGAGGTAATCTTCCGTTTTCATAATAACAATCCCTCCACCTTTATCCGCTGGTTTTATAACCTTATTTTTATCTTTCTGTAGTGCTTTCAAGGCTAGCCATTCTTCTTTACTTAAGTTCATATGTTTCTTATTTCTAGGTTTTATTTTATTTATATCCTGCATCACTAATTTTTCAAAGGTGGTCATTTTTTAGATATGAAATTATTCGGAAAAAAAGTGGATTTTGCTTTCAAGTCCGTGTGTATATATTTAGAGTTATTAGTTGGATTGTGTGTATATCTGAAATATATCTGTTACTCACTAAACACTTCACTAAAGTATTAGATATACTGCACAATTATCTGTATATATTTCTGTTTTCTTTTGTATGTATATTACATTGAAGAATATAAAGGATAATTGTCTTTGATTCACAGGTAATTCACTGTGTTTTCACATACTATACAGCGCTGCACTCTTAAAGATAGAAGACCTAAGGGGTGGTAACACCCATTAGGTCTGAAATCTTTTCTGTCTTTTGGTGTTTATCTTTGTATGGTGGGCTTTTAGGAGTACCCATAGAGTGTATACAGCAGCTATAATACACTATTCACATTAATTACTCAGCGCCACATATTCCACAACTATTGTTAATATATTCAATCTTTATATGACCATACTCTCCATTTTTTCCTTCCAAAAATTACTGACATCTCTAATTTTTACTGACTGGTATCCCAAGGCCTCCATAGTTAATCGGCCCACGGGAGTAGTTAGGACCAATTGTCCTGTGTGCTATTAATAAAACAACGCAAATAAACTTCTAATGACTGGTTAGCCCTCTCAGCTGTACCATTGGTCTGTGGATGGTAGGAGGAGGAGAAGGAGAGATCAATCCTCAATTGTTTACTGAACACCCTCCAGAACCTGGACACAAACTGAGAGCCCCTATCAGACACAATATTGTGGGGGATGCCATGCAAACGGACAATTTCACGTATGAAAATTAGGACCAAATCTTTCGAAGATGGCAACTTCTTGAGAGGAATGAAGTGAGCCATCTTAGAAAATCGGTCTGCAACCATGAGAATAGTAGTGAACCCAGCAGAGCTAGGAAGCTCAACAATAAAGTCCATGGATAGGTGGGACCATGGAATCTCAGGAACAGGAAGAGGCTGCAACAGGCCACAAGGAAGTGCATGAGTCACCTTAGAAACTGCACACACAGAACATGCCTGCACATACTCCTTTACATCTTTCCTGAGTGAATCCCACCAAAATGATCTAGTGATCGCGGCAGTGGACTTATTGATGCCCGGGTGTCCAGCAGTTATATTGTCATGGAACACTTTCATGATATTAACCCTTTCACATAGGGGAACGAACAGTTTATCACACGGTTTACCACTGGGCGCCTGAGGCTGGGCCTCCAGTATGGTGCCAAGCAGTGGAGAAGACAGTGAGAGGACAGTAGTAGCAATAATACACTCTGGTGGAATAATAGGAGATGTCACCTGTTCCGGAGCTGACTCATTATCAAATTGCCTGGACAAGGCATCAGCCTTGGTATTTTTAGAACCAGGTCTATAAGTAATGAGAAAGTTAAAACGTGAAAGGAACAGTGACCATCTAGCCTGTCTGGAAGACAAACGTTTGGCATCCCCTATATATGCCAGATTTTTGTGGTCGGTTATGATCAACAGGGGGTCCTTGGAACCCTCCAAAAGATGTCGCCACTCCTTGAGGGCAAGAATAATGGCCAACAGTTCTCTATTGCCAATATCATAGTTGCGCTCAGCAGGAGACATCTTTCTGGAGAAGTAGCCACAAGGATGCAATGGTGTTCCCTGGCTTTCTCTCTGAGAGAGAACAGCCCCTACCCCTGTCTCGGATGCATCAACCTCCAATATAAAAGGTTTACTGGTGTCAGGATGTTTTAGTATGTCCGCAGAGGCAAATCTTTGTTTAAGAGTCTCAAAAGCATTCACAGCCTCTTTGGACCATACCGTGCTACTAACCCCTTTGCGAGTCATATTTGTGATTGGGGCTATTACAGAAGAAAATCCCTTGATGAATCTTCTGTAATAGTTGGCAAAACCAATAAACCTTTGAATGGCTTTTAAACCAGAGGGTAATGGCCAGTGTAGTACAGCCTCTAGTTTTTTAGGATCCATTTGAAATCCCGATGCAGAGATGTTGTAACCCAAAAAGTGGACTTCAGGCTGGTCAAATATGCACTTTTCTAATTTACAATAAAGTTTATTTTTCAACAACGTCTGCAGAACCTGTTTCACATGGGAGTGGTGAGTTTGAAGATCAGGGGAATACACCAAAATATCGTCCAAATAAACCAAGACAAATGAGTAAATGAATTCCCTGAGTACATCATTTATAAAGTCTTGGAATACGGCCGGGGCGTTGCATAACCCAAATGGCATTACCAGATATTCATAGTGTCCACTACGGGTATTAAATGCCGTCTTCCACTCATGATTCTCTTTAATTCTAACCAAATTGTAAGCGCTCCTAAGGTCAAGCTTAGTAAATACTTTAGCTCCCTGAAGTCTATCGAACAATTCGGAAATGAGTGGAATAGGGTATGCATTTTTTACAGTGATTTTATTAAGTGCCCTGTAGTCTATGCAAGGGCGTAACTCACCACCCTTTTTCTCAACAAAAAAGAATCCTGCACCAGCTGGTGAGGATGACTTTCTTATGTGCCCTTTGCTCAAGGATTCTTTGATGTATTCCTCCATTATTTTACTCTCCTGGGGAGATAAGGCATAAACTGCCCCCTTAGGTGGCATAGCGCCTGGAAACAGGTTAATGGCACAGTCATATGCTCTGTGGGGAGGCAATACATCGGATTGAGCCTTGTTAAACACCTCCTGAAGTTCTCGGTATTGTATGGGAACTCCAGGAGTTTGGGGAGTGGTAGTGGGAAGGTCAATAGTATCCAATCTCTTTAGTACTGGTTTTATACATCTCCCCATACACTCTTTACCCCATTCTAATATCTCCCCATTAGCCCAGTCAATATAGGGATTGTGCTTATTCAGCCACGGAAACCCTAATATGATAGGACATGATGGAGAAGTAATAACCTGAAACGTCATCTCCTCCCTATGGGAGGCCCCAATGGAGATCGTAATAGGGACAGTTTCGTGGGTTATAAGCGGTTGTGTGAGTGGTCTACCATCAATAGCCTCTACAGCTAGCGGCGTAGGTCTCTCCCTGACCGGTATCTCATTACCCCTAATAAACTGGACATCAATAAAATTTCCAGCAGCACCTGAGTCCATTAGGGCACTGCAAGAAAACTTCTTGTTATCAAGGGAAATAGATACCTCAAGGAGGAATCTACTTTTGTTTTTGTTAGAGGACAACTCCATCACACCTAAGATCTGTCCCCTTAAGGTTCTTAGGTGCGGAAGTTTTCCGGACGCACTGGACAATTAGTTATCATATGTCCCTTTCTACCGCAATATAGGCATAACCCCTCCCTTCTCCTATACTGTTTTTCGGCCTCTGACAGTCTAGTGACCCCCAACTGCATAGGTTCGGGTTCGGACTGTACAGAGAGGTTAGACAAAACAGGTTTAGAGAATTGAGGTGCTAGGGACATAGCCGTACGTCTGGTCTTGCTTCTGGTGACTTCTCTAAGTCTTAACCTATTATCAATATGCATGACAAACTTAATAAATTCGTTAAGACTCTTAGGTAATTCTTTAGCGGCTATCTCATCTAGTATAGTCTCTGAGAGACCCTTTTTGAATGCCAAGATTAACCCATTGTTAGTCCAGTCTACCTCGGAAGCTAAGGTACGGAATTCAATAGCATAATCCGAGATAGACCGGTTACCTTGTCTGATGTGCATTAGGGCAGTGGAGGCGTCATCCTCTCTACCCAATGGCTCAAACGTGAGCTTGAATTCGGCAAGGAATTCCTGGTAATTATGAGCTATGCTCCGATTACTCTCCCACAACGGATTAGCCCAGGCATTCGCTAACTTCTAATATTCTGTACTATAATATTATAATTTCAGCCTGTTGACTGTGCCTTCTTACATATACTCCTGCAAGGAACTATTGTGTGAAAACAGGGCCTCTACAAACAATGATTAAGAAAGCCTTATTTTAAACACATGGCATAGCATGATGCTGTACAATACATTTATTATAACAAGATTTTTCCAGATAGCAGATTTTAGCTTGAGAAGCTTTACAGTTGAAGTTTTACTGATGTAACAAAAAATACTAATCTAGTTCATAATACTTTAAAACACAAGGTTACATCATTATATACAAATATAAGTATTAAGTACTATTAAAGTGATTATTAATAATAAAAATATGTTTACCTAATATTTTTGTCATAAGTTCTTTACAATTATTTTTAAAAAATTACATTTTATTTCATGATATATACACAATCACAAATCTTTCTTTTCATTGCCTCTCTTAGCTCTATGAAGGCAGCCATAATTAAAGGGACAATATGGGCACCAATACTACTTTACTGTATTTGATAGGTTTTGGCCTCATTAATATGCTCTAATTTTTTCATGCTCAAATTTTTATATTTTTTTGCAGAACGAAAAAATAAATGTTTTGCAGAATGCTGCACCATAAGCCAACCTTCTTAGCCACACCCCCTCACTTCAGAAAAATAATTCCTTATCAGAAGGCATGCACTGCTCAGCCATTGACAGCACTGAATTATCTGAACAAAACAACCTGCATTAGAAGGAGAGTACACCCAGGGAGGCATATAGTAAAGATATCATGGTATGTAGTTTATCTTTCTGCAGCCAGGTTGTGATTTAAAAGCCACTCACTCTGTGCTGTTGGAGCCAAGACTGTGTACACACCTTTTGATAAGGAAGTCTTTTTCTGGTGTGAAGGGGTGTGACTAAGGAGGCGAGCTTATGATGTAGCATTCTGCAAAACATTTACATTTATTGTGCAAAACCTATAATGATTTCAGCATGCAACTATACAACACATTAATGAGCACACATTCTATCAAATGCATTAAAGATGTATTGTGCCTTGAGCATTTAAAGTGATCTGCAACTGTGGGATGTGCAGACAACAAGCTCAATCCATCAGATCTCTAGGGATCCTGACCACCTCCCTACCAGAATCCCATCTATTTGGAAATAAATCTCCGCATCCATTCCCATGATAAATGGAAATCATGCACAAACCCCCCCCCAAAATAACAACTAATTTTAATGAGTGAGGAGGCTCGATACACCATACACAGTCACCCCCCAAACACACAAATTCACCCAACACACACAGCCTCGGCACACATACACAACACACAGCTTCCTAAACATATTCAACACATGCACCGATTCCCCATAAACACACACAGCCTCAAGATACATCATATACAGCCACCCAACACACAATCTGCACATGCACATTCATCCTTCCTAAACACATGTAGCCTCTCCACAAGGAGCCCCACACAACAGAAGCCCTCTCCCCTAGAATACTACAAAAGCTTCTACATACAATACACAGCTAACCTCACACACATAATGACTATGCACATAAATAACAAACGTTTCCCGTAATGGAGATATACCTGTGCTTTGAAATTACAATGCAAATACCTGCTTTAGATGTCTAACATTTTAACAATATTTACAAAAATCACAAGTTCATATAAGTAATATATTGTTTCTTTGCATTCTTAAGAATGTGTAAGTTCAAAGCAGACCTGCCATTCACATATTTGCATAGATTAAAATAGAACTACACATTATGCTACATAAATCCACAGTAATTGTATAGATCTTAAGTTTAAAAGCCTGTGCACGGTTTGAGCATATACAACTTGCACTGAATATATTGTGCTCTGTTCACCATAGATGTACATGAACACTCTTCTAGCAACTTCCTATTTTAAAGCTAAACTAATGAAACACATATCTAGGATATAAATGTAATCATATATTTTGATGTGTGTGTTATCCAATCAAACATCTTCTACCTATATAGAGAGAGATGCTACTGATTTATTATATTAGTATGTAATGAAATGTGATAATAAAAATGGATGTGCTTCAGTTTACAAAATATTAGATTATAAAAAGCCATATTCATTGTTTATGACAATACATAAAATACATTTTGTAGTGGTAGCTATAGCAACAGAATGAATGTATTTTTGTTATACATATGTATCTGACATCTTTTATTTATGTGTTGTCTCTGGGATCAATAAATAAACAAGTTCAATATGCTTTTTTATAAATTAGCAAAGACTGGAAAAACAAATCTCTAATTCAGCTAAATTAAAGATTGTTTCCAAGTATACAAATTATTTTTAAGTTATGGATCCCATGTTTAACACTAGAAGGGATATTCACTACAATGAGAAATTCTGGGAATACAAAGTGAATTCACAATCTGCAATGATTACTTTTTGCTTACATTTAAAATTTACTTTAAATTTTTAAAAAAATGTGGACTTTAGTGAGTAACCCTGTAAATCTCCCAATAACATCTAAAATAGTGGAATAAATAAGTATTATAACTATCATTGTATTAAGTTAATCTTTTTCCATTTCATTTCAGTTAGCAACAGCTATAACAGTCCAACAATACTGCATAATTTAGCAATTGCACAAAACCATTAAATTACATGTGTTTCTTGCCAGCTTAGAATACATACAGCAGATTGAATTCGCCCACTAGTGATTTACTAGTGAAAAGCCCAGTTGAATCAGAATTCACCTTTAGTGAATATGACGTGGATACTTCATGCTTGCACGGGGAGAAACTTTTTGGGGTAAAAAAATAAATAAATTGCTAAAGGTAACTTTGTAGCTGAATATTCACAGAAAAAAAACACTGTAAAGACTCAAAAATTACAGGAAACCCAAATTGGAAAGTCCTTCCCCATCCCTATAATAAGTTAATCAAAGAAGAAACCTTTGGGGGTTTTTTAAATCTAAAACAGATGTAATACTTATTTTGTGCAAAACGAAAATCCATCCATTGAAGTACTAACATATTTCTTGTTAATCTATATTACTTACATTTATTTCTATTAGTATTTTACTAGTATTACTCTTTTCCTTGCTATTGCTTGCAGAATGAAAAAAATATCACTTACACTGTAAACAAAATATATATGTATTAAATATATCAGTAAAAAAAAAAGATTATTTTTTCCAGTAACTAGTTGTTCCATGACCTTTAGCACACAGCTTCGCACTGCCTGTTCCCACCTTGCACACAGCATTCTAGAATGGAGTCTGTTGCATTGAATGGGTATATGGAATGCTGAGTGCCTCTCTCACAGGTTTCTCTCCGAGCAGAGAATACAATATTACAGCACAGACACACTCACACTCCGCAGACTAAAGAAAGACTGTAGCCATGAGTGTGAGCTCAGAGTCTCTGCGGTCAGTGAGTAATGTAGAACGTTACCTTTACAGCTATCTCTGTATTCGGCTCCCCGGAAGCCTCTGCTTCCTTACCTTGTTGATATCAGGCTGCAGCCCCTGGTAAGTCCTCAGTAATTCTCCAAGTGACGTGAACTTTAGAGCAGAATGCGCGCTGCTGCCTGCCTGCTATCACATTTCATCACATCACCCAGTATGCTCTGGGGGCCGATATGCACAATACTGCGAGAACAGCGCTCAGTGTGTGTGCCCCCGCCATCTCCCCTCCCACAGTACAGAGGAAGATTTGCTGTACATTGGCAATGTAACTCTCTCAGGGGAGGAGAGCGTTCACATACAGGGCTGGAACATACCTTGCAGGGTTTAGGTGTATTGGAGCGTAACATGTTCACAAAGACCTTGTTGACCACAAATGCCAGTAGACAACATAATGTGATGCGAGATTGGAGCAGTAGCACCAATTTTCAGTTGATATAATTAAAGGAACATTCTGATTCATTAAATAAAGAATGGGAGGGGGTAAATTAAAAACCGTGGGCCGTCGCAGAGATAGATATAGAGAGGGTCCTGGTGCAAGAATTTTTTTTTGGCCTCGTATAGCAAGGTCGATACCCATCTGTTGTACAACTCCACACTGCTTTGCCAGTTGGGTATTTACCATTTGCCCATCCGTGCAGAGTTGTTTGCAGCACTGAGCAGTGTTTGCATGTTTTTGGAGTATGTGTGAGCAAATAGAGAGGCATGCTTGTATGTAGTGTTGACGTTTGAATACAGGAGTGTATTTGTGTGTAGTGTTTGAGTTTGAATGCTGAGATGTATGTCATATAAAATACATTACCACACACACACATTGACATAAACACACTCTGACACATGCAGTTACACAAAGACACATGTAATGACACATTCAGATACCCAGATACAAACACAGACTCATAGATACATATGCACTACATGCTGGTCAACATTTACAAAGTTTTAGCCACGTCCTATTTCCTACCCTTTGGGTGCAAGGGGGGCTTCTGCTGGATGAGGCTGTGGGAATATGCAGAGTCTGCTTCTGCTGTTCGCGGCCCCCTCCTTTCAGGTTCTGCCTTCAAGTCCCCTTCTGCATGGCTCAGTGTGTGCAGCTGGGAGGAAGTGACAGGGGGCCCAATATGAAGAGGCCCAATCAAGCTGCGGTGCTTTCACAAATGTCCCAAAATTACTTCACTAAAGGAATGCTCCAAACACTATAACCACTGTAGTGGTTATAATGCCAAGCATGCCCTGGTGTCAACCCAATGTAAGTAGTCAAACCGGTTTTAGTAAATCTGGCTATAGTGGTTATGGTACCTGGAGTGTTATTTTAACAGGTATTAGATAAGTTAATAGCAAATCAAAACTCACATGAAACAAAGCTTTAGCTCTGTCTCTGGATATAGTGACTAAAAAAAGATGGCACTCGTGTGTCTCGTGTGTAATTTGCATCATGTTAAAGGAGAAAAAAAGATGAACATTATATTGTAGAGGCTGATCTGCATACACACCCGCATTTACAAGTGCGTACCACCTTTACATTTAAAATAAGGTGGCCTTTAGCTCCTACCAGTTTCATTTACATACAATACTAATTAATTCAAACTTAATTTACATTTAAAGTGGCCATCATAGTTTCTTCTGCACAGCTGGATGGACAGCACTAATGGAGGTGGAAGGAGGCAGAAGCCATTCAGGTCCCTTGCAATAACTGTGTTACTGTGTGCACTATTACTCAAGAGGAAGTGGCCGGGCAAGGGATTTTTTTGCTTTCTGCGCAGCAATAAGGAATGCCTTGCGACAGCAATATCTGCACTGTGACTGGCAGCGTGTGAGAGTGAGTGTTATACTCCTCTTCAACTCTTCACCTCCCTTTAGAGACTGAAAGGCAAATTCAGAACATGCATATCTAGTACAACAATATACAGTTTCACTTATTACAAGGTTTCCAAAAGTCTGCCATCTGAAGCAAAAAAATATGGGGTGTTAGTCAAACATCATGGTCAAACATTGGCAAGGCCATAGTACCCTAAAACTGGTGGGTCCCATTTTTTTTGTCAATCTTTATTTTTGCAGTGCTTAGGGTTACAGACATGCTTGTGTTACCACAACAGCAGGTACAAGCTAGTGAGAGGAAACAGTGTCATGGCAATCAATAACAGCACATTTATTTATTTTAGTTAGTAGGTTCAGCTTAGGTATAGAATTATAAAACAAGCATTTTAGGTATGTCAGTGGTAAGAGATCAGAAGTGTGTTCAAAAGAGGTTACGCAAACTGACTATATGTTTTTTTGTTGTAAGTAAAGCAAGCTAAATGTGTCAGATAGAGACTAATGTTGATAATGATGTTAAGAGTATTAACTAAAAGTAATATTAACTAGCAGAAGAGAGATACCACTGGTTGCTGGAAGGTAACTTACAGTTGCCTGCCAGTGTAAGCAAAGCAACAGAGTAAAACAGAGTCAGACCGGATTGGGAGGGCTTCGGTTCGGGTCCCGAGGTTGGTAGGTACGGTAGGGGTGCAAGCCGAGAGCATTGCCCAAAATTGCTCAAAAAGGCAGTCCAAAGCCCAAAGGAGTGGGTCGTCCTGGTCGTGTGGACGTGGGCAAACCCATGGTCCTGCAAGCCATGTGGCATCGGCAATTTTGAGTAGTAGGCCGCAACCTTCCAGCTCACCCTTAATACCGATGTCTTGCTACCGATTGTAATCTTAACATAAAAGATAAATATGCTAGAAAATCTCTGTGAATCAAAATTAAGTAAACATGCTACCTGCAATACTTACATAACAGATGATGAGCCACGGCTAGCAAGATTCAATAATTTTCCTAAACCCTCATCACACAGGATATAAGCTGCTTCAAGACTGACTCACCAAATTCATTTTTTACTATGGTTACATGTAACAGGACACATGTGAGTGAAGGGGGAGTGGTATTCAGGCCTAGATTTTTAATGAAATAAATAAATAGGTGTACACTAGAGAAAGAAAAAAGGAACCAAGCCATATTCACATTCAGGATGTGTGAACTAGTGCAAAGGTTCTTGTTCACAAAGTTATGTGACTATATTAGCTGTTTAAAATACCACTCCACTTTGGATACTATTTCACTGTTTAATTCCGTTTACTTGGATAATAAAATGATGACGTTCAACTTATATACTGTACTGTTATACTGAATAAATATACTGTTTAAAATAGCCAAACTTTTAATATTTATCGCTTACAATGCACCTTGTCACAAATGTATTTCTTTATTCATTCTATTTTCTTAAAGGGACACTATAGTCACCAGAAGTACAGCTTATTGTATTTGTTCTGGTGAATTTAGTCAGTCCCTGCAAGCTTTTTGATGTAAACACTGTCTTTTCAGAGAAAAGGCACTGTTTACATTACAGCCTAGGGATAAGCATTAGAGGTGCTTCCTGGGGCAGTGCTGCAAGGTGTGTGTGTGTAGGGGTGGTAGGGGGGCTAGATGGTGGTTTTAACACTATAGTGTCAGGAATACATGTCTTTCCATTACTTATTATTATGTTATTATTTATATAGCGCCGACAAATTCCGTAGCGCTTTACAGTGGGTGGACGGACAGACATGTAGTTGTAACCAGGGCTGCCATCAGAAATGTTGGGGCCCCTGACACAGCTCAAGGTCTGGGCCCCCCGGTGCCTGCACCCGAGTCCGCCCAAAGTGCTGCCCCCCCGAATCCGCCCACAGGGATGCAGTGTCTGCAGGGCTGGTGCAAGGATTTTTGCCGCCCTAGGCAAAAGTAAAGTTTGCCGCCCCCCATGTGACATCACAATGCCCCACCCATATGATCTGCCAGGTTAACTAACATCAGTGCTGCAGTGCTGCCGTGTTTACATTAAAAGGCCTGCAGGGACAGGCTAGACACCAGAACCACTACATTAAGCTGCAGTGGTTCTGGGGACTATAGTGTCCCTTTAATGTGAGGTAAATTAGAGATTAGTGCCACGAATAATATACTAGATTGCCTACTTACAACCAGATGAGGATGATGATGGGCTGTAGCTGCCGTCTGACTCCACTGGTCTTGTGTACAACAGGCTCTCTGGAGGCGGTTTGTAACTGTGGTCACAAAAATCACTGTTCTGGGAGAACGGGAAGCAGCTCCATTTTTTTGAGGCCCCTTTACACAGCTCAAGGTCTGGGTCCCAGGGTCCACCTTCATGTTCCACCAATGAGTTTGTTCACAGGGAGTGGAGTGTGTGTGGGATGTCCTGATGTGTGTAAGGAATGCATTGTGTGAATCTGTGTTTGTATGTGTAAGGGCTGCAAGATGAGTTTGTGTATGTATGGGATGCAGTGTGTGCGTCTGTAAGGGATGCATTGAGTGTGTGTAAGGGGTGCATTGTGTGTTGCTGTGTGTAAGGGATGCATTGCTTGTGTATGTGTGTCTGTGTGTAATTCATTGTGTGTTTTTCTGTGTGCAAGGGGTGCATTGTGTGTGATGGATGTCAATCTTCCCCCCTCCCCCCCCGTCAATTTCCTTCTCCCCCCCCCAGAGGCGGCTCTCTAATTAGGCGATTTAGGCGGCCGCCTAAGGCCTCGTGCTGTGTGGGGCCTCGCGGCCGCCTAAATCACCTTGGGGCAGACTGAACTGTCGGGTCCTCGGTCAATGACCGAGGACCCGACAGTGAGAGGGGGCCCGGCGGCTTTCCCAGTATGCCGCCTGGTGGCCCCTCCACACGGTCTGCCCACACGGTGAGCCAGCCGCTGATCTGCAGCTCCGCTGAGTGCAGAGCTGCAGATCACATAATGTGCTTCTCGCGAGCACACAGAGCATTGCCGCGGGTTACCACGGCAACGCTCTGACAGGCGCTCGCGAGAAAGAAGTCTGCAGCTCTCGCGGAGCTGCAGACGGAAGTCATCCCACCGGACCACCAGGGACTGCTGCCACTGGACCACCAGGGACTTCTATTTCAAGAAAAAGGTATTTCAGTGTGTGGAGGCTTGTCACAGCCTCCACACACACTGTCCCCTTCACTGCCGAACCACCCTCACTGCCCACCCACCCTCACTGCCCCATCACTGCCCACCCATCCTCACTGCCCCATCACTGCCCACCCTCACTGCCCCATCACTGCCCACCCATCCTCACTGCCCACCCTCACTACCCCATCACTGCCCACCCACCCTCCTGCCCCTTCACTGCCCCCCACCCTCTTTCTTACCCACCCTCACTGCCTTCACTGCCCCCACCCTCACTGCCCCCATCACTGCCCACCCATCCTCCTGCCCACCCTCACTGCCCCATCACCACCCACCCTCACTGCCCCTTCACTGCCCCCCCACCCTCACTGCCCACCCACCCTCCCTGCCCCATCACTGCCCACC